TTCGCTGAGATTTTACAAATATATCTTTATAAATGTCTACTTCTCACTCAGCGCTCAATTATTTTGCAACTATCCGATCAAATCTTGATCACACTTCATATGAATCATAGCAGTCTTATCGTGAGCAAATATGATTCTCAGATAGATGGCTCTTCTTTTGATGGTGACCCGAAACAACCAATCAGAAACCTGCGTTTTTCTGCTTAACTTCTGAGAAACAACCAATCAGAAGACTACGTTTGAATAAGCTATAACAATGTATGTGAAATATATATAAATACGTGTTGATTTCCGTAATAAAACGATCTGTTGCCGGCCGTTGTCTTCTGTTGTTACAATTATAATAAATCGTACCATCCGTGAAGGTTGATACTCAAAGCCTCTAAAAACTCTATGCCAATACCTCCTACTGTAACAACAGAAGACAAGGGCCAGGCAACACATCGTTTTATTATGAAATCAACACGTATTTATACATATTTCACATAGATTATTATAGCTTATGCAAGTAGACAAGCGCAGTCATCTGATTGGTTGTTTATCAGAAGTTAGGCAGACAAACGCAGGTTTCTGATTGGTTGTTTCGGGATTCCTCGACAAATAGAGTTCTCTACCTTCAGAAACTAATTAGGTATAGGATACACTGCTGTGATTGGTTGTTGAATCAGTCTTGCTCATATTTTCTCACGGCCTGCTCTCACCACACTTATAATATGAAGCGCCTACATTGGTTACTTTAATAATTCCTTTATTTTGTTGTAAATTCATTGCAATGCTCCGAGTTTTGATAACTGTTCTCTGGAATTGAATATCTTATTCCGTAATGGAAACTCCAGTCAGGTCTTTCAAGCTAGCTCATCTCCGTTGTCTTCATTTCGTCAAGCGACTTAGTTTTCTGCTTAGTATATTGCATTGAATATTTGCAAAGATCCAAATAAGCAACACAGATGAGTCTTGCTAAGAGGAAAAATGCTATTCCGAATGTAACGGGAAACCACCAGATGAGGAGTTGGAGGGAACTGGCTGAAGCTGATGATCTCGCTTCTGCCCTCACTGTTGATCCTTATCTTGGCTTTACTACCCATAAAATGACAGATATGAGGTTAAAAATTCCAGAAAGAATCAAAAGGAAGTTTTGTGATATCATATCTGCCTTTCGGAAAAATAAGTGTTACGATACAGCTTTCAACCAGCTGACTGCCGATCCAAACATAGTGAAACGGTCTTGGAGTATTGACCCTCGTTTCAAGGAACATATCAATCGATACTTGTTATTATTTGATGATCGTTCTGGCATTGAAATTCGACCTTGTTGGCGCTACGCATCAGAAAATCATATGGGAGCCGCAATATATGCCACAAAAGATTGGGCGAAAGGGTCTCGTATTAGTACTTTGGTGGGATGCATCGCTAAACTCAAGCATCATGAAGAGGCTACATTCCTTAAGCAACACAAAAATGACTTTTCAGTCATGTATTCTTCTAGAAAAAACTGTTCCCAATTATGGTTAGGTCCTGCAGCTTATGTTAATCATGACTGTCGACCTAACTGTGAGTTCACAACTAACTGTGATGCTGACGCTCGTATGAGCTTAAAGGCTATAACCGATATCAAGTCGGGTGATGAGATTTTCATCTACTATGGGACAAACTTTTTCGACACAAATAATGCAGCTTGCGAGTGTTTTACATGTGAATTATTAGGTCGTGGATATTTCAGCAAATTTAACCAAAGTGTGGATATGACAAATCCTACTAATGAATTATCATCTCCAAATACTATCTCTGACCAGAGGACTCATCCAAAAAATATTGTACCAGCATTTCATAATACTCTTAACATTTCTACTGATCATAATCAAATTCTGCGTGATAGAATAAATTCAGTACCAAATAATTCTCACTTTGTCAAGTGGGTTGGTTCTCAAGTCACTAAGTCTTTATCATTGGATTTCTTCCTGAAGAAGGGATCTTCAACTGGTTTGGCTTGTAAAGCATTGCCTAATGCATATTCCTTACGGCATACCAGCTATCGTTTAAATCGTGTTAAAGCTCGACTTATTGCTGCAACCATAGCTTCTGTAAACAAATCACCTTATTCGATTAGTCATGAGAACAGGACTCCGAGGATTATTTCCCCTTATAAAAAGTGCATGTTAAGAAAAACTATTAAGAAAAGCGTTTCATCTTGCCTACAAAATGAATCAAATTTGCATTCATGTGACAGTGAGCGAAGAAAGCTAAGCAATGCATTATCATCTGTCGTAAAAAGACGAAGACAATTATTACGGAATAGTCATATATCTGAACAACGAAGTTTTACTCCCAAGAGTACTGTTAAAGTCCCTGTTTCCAATGACACAGCAGTTTGTGACAGAATAGCATGGCAAGAATCAGATGGAACTAGCAGTGGATTAGGATACAGTGTTCATAACGATTGCAGTAGTGCTTCAAATAGCCCATTACCACCTTTATTGGATCGTATGCCATCAACTTCACCAAATAATTCCTTCAGTGATTCAACTGTTACACCTGCTCTTGGATCACCCTATTATTGTGATTCAGTAACACAAATGTTCTCTAATGATAATGATAGCAATATTGGCAATGACAACAGTAAGAAAACTGTTACATCAGATCATGGATCTCCGGGTTTTACTTCTCCGTTAACTGAAATGTACAGTAATAATAATAGCAACAATAATGTTAATGAGCATAATAAGAAAACTGTTACGCCTGATCTTGGATCGTCCGATTGTATTCATCTGTTAACCCAAATGTGCAGTATTGATATTAATGACGTTAATGATGCCAATATTGACAATAACAGCAATAGGAACTCCCATCCAAATTTGACCATCAGATCCACACCTAATTCGTTTCTTCTCAATCAGATTGCACTTGAAGTCCTGTCTAGCCGGTGATGTCAACTTCATGGATTGATGTTGTGCTTCTGATTATTATTGACTTTTTTTGAGTTCTTTCCTAACCCAATCTTATGTTGACGAAGAGAGTGAAGACTTAGTATGCCTAATATGCGCCCTTGTCACTTCAGTCGAAACAAAGCAACACTATATATGTAATCAAGCATATATGAGATGATATATTTAATTATAAAAATGCTATTATTACTAATAATAATGATATTATTATTATTATACCAAATGATATGATTGCTTATGAATAATGTGCTCCATAGAAAAAAGACTAGAACATGGTGAACAGAAACGAAAAAAGCCAGGCAATTAAATTGACTAAGGAAATATACGTGAAAAAACGACAGGAAATAAAGCATATAAAATCAAAAAAGTAAAATAAACAATTATAATAAATGATGATTATGATGGTGAGATTTTTTCGAAATCAATTAAAATTAAAACAAACAAACACAATAAAAGCAATGATTCTAAAGTAGTAAATATGCATGTATATAAATGCTTGTCTTCCTTCTTTTTTATAAATAATGACATGTTTTGATTTCGCGCCAAAACGACATTTCAACAACTATTGAAAATTGAAACATTTAACACATTGAAATGCGGTGCAGAATTTATGTTTAACGTATGGAAATAAAGATAGATGAAAGAGTGAAAAAGGGAATTAGGAAGTGAGTAACTCAGTGGATGGATGAGTGAATGGCCAAGATAAATATCACGCACACATACACGCAAGCATTAAGTGAATTATAAGTAAGTATTACCAGTGAATAAAAGAAATGAGTAAATGATTCAATATTCAATATTAAATTAGCCTAAACTAAATGCCATCAGATCAATCAATCGATCAATATGTGCATACGATAAATAACAAGAAACAGTAAAATAAAGAGTAAATAGGGTTCAAATGTGAATTAAGTTTGTATTAACTAGTTAATTGATTGAAGTTACGCTTTTGCTCAACTTTTCATTTCATCTTGAACTGGGCATTTTCACAATTTAATGTTATTACTTTGCAGCGTCATCATTATCATCATCATCTTCACAGCATGAACACTCACAATCACCTTCATCCTCTTGATCAGATCTTAATGGATTTTCATAGAATTCAAATGTTGGAGGACGACAAATGATTGGTGAATCACTTCTTTCATAATCATTAGGATCATTATTACTTTGATTATGATGATTATATATTGATGAAGCCATGTTCAAAGAAGCATTATAGCGCTGAAATTGAAGAGAAAACGAAAATCAAAATATAAGAGAATTTCACACAGAGAATTTTTTAAAATGAAGTTTAGTTTATTTAAGTCATTTGACTAAAGTTTCCATAGATTTGTAAACCAATAAAAAGACCAGTGATAAACATTTTTATTCCGTTTTACTAAGTCAGTGTAATTTTAAATTTCTCGCGGTCTAATTTAAAGGGCCAAAAAACAAACAAAGAAAAGAACAGGTGGTTTCAGAGCACATTCCAAGAAGCAAATATTTACAAAGTGTAATTACCAGACACCTTAAGGATACCGGTCATTTTATCGAGATTTCCAGATCCTTCAAAATATTAAACATACAAAGGACAGCGAATATACTACGATTTGCTGAAGCAATTGCAATCAAACGTTTCAGACCAAAGTTATGCACACAGAAAGAGAGTGTAGTCAATCTCTCACTCCCTAGGGAACTGTTTTACTTTCATTACACTGATTAGTTATACACACTAGTGAGCTCAACTCACTAAGCAAGTTTTCAATTTAATGAAACTTAACCTTCTTGAGTTGCCATTTTGACGTACAAGCTAACACTGTCTAATAGATTTTTCTGTTTTCTGTCTTTTCTCAGTCCCCCACCTTATTTCATCGTCTGGTGGTATATAAATGGATGGTGACTTAAACTACAAATTGTAATACTTATATTCCGGATGCGTTCATCTCTTATAATGTTTTCACTATTACCTTTCAAACATTGAAGCATGAAATGTCATTATTTACAACCATTGTAATTTCGGTAGTGGTGTGCAGCTGATGAGAACCTGTGAAATAGAATGATGATGCCATTTTATACTGCAAATCTAGTCTTTCTTTCTCTATCGGCTTAAGTAAACAGCTGGTAAGCTATGAGTAAGCTATTATGTTTACATTTAGGTAGTGACCAATTTAGATGGTTAGACTAAATGACCTAATTCCATGCTGAATTGTCTTGTCATAATGAATGCTTTGTTCTATTTAAAGTTCCGGCTTGTTTACATAAAAAGAATAATCCGAGAACCTTGTGTGTTGTTTTAACTGGCTGATGAATACAAGTAGATATTTACACAGAAGTGAATTCATCCAGGTTGATATACTTTGTAATGATAAAAACAAAATCAGAAACTTGTGACAGAATGTTAATTCAATTGGTTAAACTAAGATTCCACACTAATTAACCAGAGAAAGTTAGATAAGTTGATTTGATATAGCACACTCTGTTACAGTCAAGCTCATGATCATGTCAGTGTATTCTCATGGCTTCATCATAATTTGCTTTTCTTATGTTCACTCTCCCGCTTGTCATCTTGATACAGACTGATAGAAAGCAGGCAAAATTGAAATCAATATTTAAAGTTAATGACTGACTGTAGAAGTAGAAGTGTTTATCCTTCAAATATAGATTTAGTTTACGTGTGGATATGAAATTACCCCATTGGACAACTTATTAAAAACCTTGAACAAATCATCAGCCAATCAGAATAGTTTATTCTCCCCCGACCTAGCATAACTTTAGTATAGCTAAGAATGTATAATTTGTTCTTCTTTAATAAAGGTGTACGTTAACAAGACTCTTTATCTGCGCCTGTTACAGAATCACACTCTATCACAGTGCCTAAAATTTTATTCTTAATATTAAAGGTAATTTTATGGTGAGAGCTGGCTGCCAGCCTAAAATGGTAGACAGTAATTTATGTCAATGTTTATGTCTCCAATATTGGTTGTGAGAAAAATAAGAACAAAAAATGATTCAACAACCAACCACAGCAGACTTTGTTTGCGTAGGCGGATACAATTTACAGATAGATAATCTGAACTTCAAAAAACGGCCACAAAGAGATGAAAGATTAACAACGTTCAGCGATAAATCACCAATCAGAAGACTGTGTTTGTTTGCTTACAATAATCTATAATAATGTAGATGAAAATCTATAAATATGTTTTGATTTCCTAAATAAACAATCTGTTGCCTGGTCCTTGTCTTCTATTGTTACAATTTAACTTTGTTGGTAGAGAGGTCCTGTGTTAATATCTGATTCTGAAGACAGTGGCATGGAGGTGCACCATTCTAGTCAATTCACTTCATCTGAACTCAAGTCACAAACCAGTTCTTATGTGATGTCGTCCTCAGCGTAAGGGATAAACAGTGATTGTCATACAACATAGACATAAAGCTAGAAGACTGGGCATACTTATATTATTTCTACAAATAATTCTTTAGTGAAAATCCATAGAACCCTTTTAATCTGGACTCTCGTTCTACATAATATCCATGTATATTTCCGATGCGATTTTAAACTGTGCACATATAGTTTTCAAACAGACAAGAAGTAGAAACATCGTGGTGTTGGTAAGCAGAAAAAAATGCTTTAAATAATGAAGTTGGCTACTACCAGTTCGTTTCAGGTTAGACGACTGTTTGATATCAGTCAGAGAACGGTTGAAAACCAGGAAGTATTGAACAGCTGTTTCATCCTAGTCCTTGGGACTCATAAGGAGTACGCACCCATTGGGTTTCGAAGCCAGGACCTTCCGGTTACAAGGCGGGCTTGTATACCAGTCAGCCAATGGGACCTGATTCAGTCGGTCATGAATTTAAACTTTCACCGATTCCAGAACTTTCTGGTTTCCAAAATTTCTCTAACTGATATCAATACGTGGTCTAACCTGGAACAAAGAGAATTCCTACAAAAAACAATTCTTGAAAGTACTACTAGTTTGATGAAACAAGCCTTTTATAAATGTGAAAATATTCTATTATGACAAATACTGAGGATTCCGTAAAGGTTTTTTTTAATGGTTTCCATACTATCCTTCCCTCAATTCACATGTTTCTTTCTAGTTAACGAGAAGATTGTTGTTATTATTGCTCTCTCAGGTTATAAGTTGTAACCACGGCTTCAGCAACACATCTCAATTTCAGTCTGCTTTTTGCAGTTTCTTTTAACTCACTCCATAATTGTGTACAACCCCTCATTTCCTCACCAAATTACCTCATCCATGCCACCCTTGGACATCCAGCTTGTTATTTATCATCTGGGTTCCACCCGAGGATCTGAGGCGCGTCTGACGTTACAGACCTTCATCTGCAGGTGCCTTCGCTCAGTACTACTAAAGATCGGATTGCCGGCCATAAATGATCAACAACAGGGATCTCTGGGGATGAACCAACCCAGTAGAAACCAACTGTGCAACAGATATGCAGGAAGAAATAGAGTTGGGTTGACCATACTCTGGGAAAAAAAACCCATCAAGTTACATCACACGCTAGGCTCTCTCTCTCTCGAGTGGGACCGGAGTGGGAAGCGGCGAGTTGGTCGTCAGTGCGAGTGTGACATGAAGGAGGTAATGTGGAGAGGAAATGAATACAAGTGGGGAGAGTTGGATCCAGGTAAAACGTTGTTGGGGAAGCGAACGCAATGGGGCTGAAGCCCTATGTTCCTCCAGGAACTAAAGGAAACAACAATAATAGTAACTAATGATGTTATTTTTTTTTTTTGGTTACAGCTTGATTCCACACTGTATTTTTGGTACAAGTGTGGAGTTTTCAGCGTGGATATCGGTAGCCCAAAATTCGCAGGCCAACCATAGATATCAGGTGTGCGTCGGCGTGGGCTCGAACCCCGGACCATGTGAATGGTCGGCGAGAGTCCTAACCACTGTGCCACCGACGCACAATTTATTTCCATTTCTTTCGGCATATTTTTTGCGCTGTAGGTTCTTTGTTGGTTCGTTGACAGAGTTCCTTGTCACTTATTCTTTCCAGTCATGTGATCTGACAGCAGAGGCAAAGTTAGAGAAAATCTGCATTATGCTGTTAAAAATAGGTTTTGTGACGTCCGTGAAACACATAGAAGCACTGATTGACTTAAAATTCATTATGGAAGATCTGAATCTTGTTTTTATGCTGAATACAACAGATTTCCGATTGATGAAAATTTGTCTGGTTTCTCCAGTCCTATACTTGAAAACCTCATTGGTGACTTCCTTATTTTGGGTTGAAATGATGTTGTCTGCCTAGATAAGTGAAAGGAGAGTGTATTGATATAGTAAATGCATATGAAATCCATGCTCCTGACGCACTAACTTCTCTCGTTTGATGACAATATTTCCAAATGAAAAAGGGATATTGAAAAAGAATATGTTTACCTATAAGTTCTGCACTTCATATTGAAGAAAAATGGTTAATAATCAAGTTTGAATTAGTAAATTTAATTTTTACGGTTTCAGAAAGATGCTACTTATATATGTTTAAGTAGTTTGAAATGAGTGGATAATGAAACTTCATAGAAGCTGAGAACTGTTTGTTGGATTCCGAATTGGCCACATATCTACACCAAACAATCAAATTGTTTACTGAAGATTAAGAATTATACCTTCAGAAACTAATTACATCTAGGATACACTGAGAAAAACAGACGAATACTGACCACTTGTGAATTTAAAATTAACAGCGGTGATAATAACTGGATTGAAACTTTTTAACCTAGAGAAGAAACATTATAATTTTAACGCATTACAAAACTCGTTCAAGTTATTTTTCAATCTCAATTGATTCAATCGAAATGCCCTGCCTCTGCTGGCTGACGTGTCATTTTAATTACGGAGTTTTTGGTGACGTTTGAAAGCTAACGTCATGTTACTTAGATTGGTAGTGGATATCATTGGAATTCAGCATGCGCGTTCCATTCGAATTTAGTTTCATCATCTCGATCCAACTGTATCTCTAATGAGTATCAGTTGGAACAGCATCACTCAGATGCAGATATAGCCAGATGATGAGTCCCCAAGGGTGACGAAACGCTCGCTTTTCATTCCACTTCTGGACATCATCAACACAAAGATTATAACACTGATCATGTGAAATGAAATAGTGAATAGTATTCTAACAGTATTGCATAGCATACCTTTTCATCAAGTAGAACAGTTTTTGATTCAAATTCTTTCATATCTGATTCATTGACAATAGGATTTGGTATAACTCTTAACGGATCATTTTGTGCCTGTTTAGGCTGTTTCTGTTGTGTTATAACGATGGGTGAATTATCATTGTTCATTTTTGAATTTCTTAACTTTTCTGCACTTGTTATTTTTTCCGGTTTTATTGTCTCATCTGCATCATTGAATTGTTGACTTGTATACATTTGTTTTAATATATCTTCAGTACACGGTATCATGTGAAGATTATTTGTTTGTGATTTGAATTGATAATTCGATTTTGAATGAATACGTTGTATTCGATTAACAGCAACAAATAGTAGCAATAAGACAGCCAAAACTGAAGCACCAATAATCAGGAAAATGCTCTAAAATGAAGATAAGTGGGATAATGCGAAAAAAGTAAGTGGTTAATTTATGCACAGTTAGTCAGGTATTGATTTATAAACACAGAATAAAATTATGTAAAATAAGCTTGAATATGCACCATACTGATGACAAGGTTTTAATTGTTGACCTACCGTAAATAAGTAAAAGATGTGTTTAGAAAATGAAAACTGAATAAATCAAAATTATAGCGCCAACTGTATGTATGTATGTTTAAATAATGGTAATGATTTAGAAAAACAAATGAATATCCTACTCTCAAAACTTGTATAAATCTCCTAACCTCGATATTACATTATCAAAGACACCTAGCCTCTGTATATCATCGCCCTTCCACGGTGGTGTCTTTCAAACGAAAGGGAGGACAGAGAGAACTGCTGTGGAGTACACACAGCATTTCATAAATACCTGGATATTATGTGCATGCGAGAGATGACAAATGATTGCAGGATTTCATCATGAGCTGACACAGGTTAGAGGTCCATTGGACAAACACCCAGTGGGTATTGGACAGCTGATTCGTCCTAGTTTGGGACACTTCAGCAGTATGCACCAGCATAGGGGTTTGAAACCAGGACCTTCTGGTTACAAGGCGAAGTCGTAAACTGTTAAGCCACTGGGACCCGATCCAAAGGCCAATCCATGAATTCCAACTTCCAACGACCGTTAGTCAATGTCTTCAGTGAGTGGGAAGTTGTGACCAGTAGGGTGCAGAAGGTAGGGTGTTAGGATGGACACTCGCCACCGATGATATTGACTAATGGTCACGCCATGTCGTGAGTTGGCAGAAGCTGGAATTCATGGACTGGCCTTTGGATCAAGTCCCAATGGATTAATGGTCTACGAGCTCGCCTTGTAACCAGAAGGTCCTGGTCTCGAACCCCAGTGGGTGCCTACTATTGAAGTCTCCCAGGCACTAGGACGGAGCAGCTGTTCAGTACTCTCTGGGGGTTTTCCAATGGTTCTGTAACCGTTGTCAGCTCATGATGAAATCCTGTAACTAACCAATGAAGTCCCTACAAACGAATACTTGAAGTTGACAAATGAGTTGGCAAATGCCAAATTTTCTTTTTCTATGCGTACTGAGACTTCTCCAGCAATCAGTCTACTAGGGCTGATACAACGTGCCCAATACGTGAGAGGGGTCGACACACCGTACCATTTCACTCATTATCTTTAGGCTGCGAGTCAGTGTAGTACAGTCCTACCGTATTATTTCATACATGACAAAAGCAAATTATACGTCAAACATTCGAAGATTTCTTCCGTTATTTGGTGTTCTGTATAGCAGTATTAAAATCAAAGCTTAGTGGCATTGGTTGATGAGGTCTTTAGTTACTGGTTTGAGGTGTAGACTGCCCATCTGGGGTTTCAGAGACGTTAAGAATCAATGTGTGTAGAATTCTGGTGATATGATACAAAATCGATGTTTATGGAATAAATCAATTCAGTCTTTATGAACTCTCATGTCTCTCCATGTACTTATTCTTTCTTTTATACATTCCAGTTTATTACAAATATCTTACTATTTTCCTCCACTGATATGTGTGCATTTATGAAGTGTGACAACTTGACCTGCTGACCATTTATGCAAAAATTCTTCTTCTTCTTGTCAACGAAGGCATCAACTAGGCTGCACGTTCGTTTATTTACAGGAAAGTTCCAGAACTATTTCCGTCCTAGAGTCAAATTAATACAATTACAAAGTGCGATAAACAGGAAGATCGGGTAAAAAAAAACTCCAACCACTTCACTCGCTTATGTGGAGTCGAGTACATTGGCTGTATTATACATCCGCTCTTAAAACGCACTCGGGAACACTATTCATCAGCATGGTTAGCAAAGACAGAACGCAAGAGTGTACATAGTTCAGTAACTGAACATCTGATGAATTCTGGACATCCAACTCCATTTGAAAAAAAATCCATTAAAGTCATTGACAAGATACAATCAAACCTCTCCAAGGGAGTGAAATAAAGGCATCTAGGAATATAGTTGAGGCACTACCGATCCAAAATTTCAAGCCCACAATATGTATTCAAAAGCAATACGTTCAACCATTTTCCGTACCATGACCATCAGAAGGAGTCAATCCTATTGATAATGCTTATTCCATTATCTTTCTTATCCAGTCTTCTTGTTTATTTCCGTTACTTTCACGTTTTTGTTTAAAAATTCCTATCTACATTATTGTTTTTTATCCGAACATCTTGCTTATTACACTTTGTAATTTTATTGATTTAATCCTTGGTCAGAAATTGGGTAAAGTTGAACTTTAAGCACCACTTACTACCAATCAGCGGGTGACGTCGAACGCGCCGATCATGCGAACGAGGCATTTTTGTGTATGGAATACACATATTTACGAAAAATTGCATAAAAACTGTATAAAAGTGTTACAGGGGATACGTTGCTCTCATCTGTAATAAAAGTAGCTCTCAGTTTTAGGTTGGAGTATCAACAGAGTTTAATTTTATTATGGATAAAATTTATTTTGATAAAATCTCATAGTGTAATACAGTAATATTTCCTGAGCAATAAATTGTGCTCGAAACGTTGTCATCAGTAAATATTACTGCATAACACTGTGAGACTTTATCAAAATAGATTTTGCCCACAATGAAATTATACTCTATCACAGTGCACAAGTTCTATTCTTATATCAACAAAGTAATTATTTAGGTCTTCTAACCCTAACAATAACACTAATCTTTCCGGAAAATAAACCTAACGTGAAAATATGCCTAAACTAACTGTAATCTAACTAGAACCAATCCTAATGTCGACTTTATTAGGTTAATCTAACCCTAACTTGTCCTTGGCATAAAGCGTAACTTAATCTTCCCCAAACCTAAGTTGAAACTTGCCAGATATCCCATTTAATGATATAACAGTTTATCGTGCGTAGGTAATCCTCTGACTTGTCGACAAGCCTGTAGCCATTGCACTACCTACTAATATCATTTTATTTCGAATAAAAATGGACAATTAGTCTACACTAAAAATACCACTCGCTCACCTGCATGCCTGATAAATTCTGTAATAATGGTATTTGAATGTAATCAGCACCGCTTATATACCTCTCTCTCTATCTATCTATCCAAACACATCATCACGCCCACCCCCACCCCACTTCAACACATACACATCCCCCCTTAGCTTCGTTTGTATTAGGTAGTTAGTCAGTTAGTTAGTTAGTTAGTTATTTAGGTTTGCATATATGTAATAACCTGATATGATGTGACGGTGGTCGGTAGTGGTGATGGTCTGCAAATGAAACATCTATTAACAAACAGTATTTTACCCATTATATATATATGACAAGTATCCTATTTCATCTATGTGTGACATTTCAATTTCCCCTACCCCCTTCCACACACACACACACCACACACACAGTTTGGTTCGTTTAATTTTTAGTGAAATACAGTCTAAATTCTTCGTTACATTCATTCATTCATTCATTCATTCGTGACAAGTAAATAAGTATTACACATATACCATACACCACTAGTAGTACTAGTAGTAAGTGTACTATGTACCCGAAATTCTGATCTACTAATATCTTTTTATTTCGTTGTTTTGTTTTGTTTTCAGTAATCATCGACTCGTCATCATCATCAGGATCAAGATCAGGCAGGCTAAGTGAAACGTTATCATCATCATCATCATCAAATATTGCTAAGCGTAAATTGTGACAAGTATAATAATTATCTACAGATAGAGGAGTAGTGAGTGCATAGTGCATTGATACTGGTGAGTGGTGAATGGTGAGTGCCTTAAACGAGGACAACATGTCTGCTGTCTGATATGTTGTTGTATTTCTCATAATAAATTGTTTTTGCATTGGTTTTACATTTTCAACCTCATGTATAACTGAACTGAATTGTTGTCATTATATTTCGCAACATTTCACTGACGAGATATATGATGTATTTTATTCCTCACTACACCACACTACATTAACCCCGTCACCCCATCCCACCCACCCTCTATTTGATTTGTTTGTAAATTTATTTTTAGCTTTGTAGCTGTATTTCAGATTTCATAATAATAATAATAATAATTGGCTACTTATCACCCACCACCCTTCCTCTCCGTCTGTGACAGTTATTTGTCATCCCTCCCTCCCTCCCTCCCTACCTCTCTGTCTGTCTCTCCTTACCAGGGTGGGTGTACTGCTATTATTCGTATGTATTAGTAGTCTTATTTACCACCACCACTTACTGTGATCACATCACACCTGTGATGATAAAAAAATTAATCTTATTCGTTCGAATAGACCAATCATGCACCATCATGTGTGTGTGTGCGTGTGCGTGCGTAGGTAATCCTCTGACTTGTCGACAAGCCTGTAGCCATTGCACTACCTATTTGATTATTAATTAATATTACTATTCCCATAGTTGTTGGTTTGTAACGATTAAATTGGGTTTTACGAGTTTGACCACGCCAGGCTACGCGCGGATTTATTTATATCAATATCAGAAACCACTCAAAGGAACACATATGCTCATGGATTGATTAATTGTTGAGTAGGTGTGTCTGCCAGTTTTGTGAACATTTGAATTTGAGTTTGACCACGCACGCCAGTCTATACACGGATTGATATCAATCAGTTAGAGCATTGAAGCCAGCATTGAAAACTAGCTGGGGAGTTGGGGAGTAATGGACAGCCAGCCAGCCAGCCAGCCAGCTGTTTCGTCAGCCACCCTAGTTTGGGAATCATCGGCAGTACGCGCCCACCACAGTGCCAGGGTTCGAACCAAAGACCTTTCGGTTGCAATCAAGGCAAGCTAGCTGGCTGGCTGGCTGGCTCGTATACCATTCAGTCACCACTCACTGGGACCCGACCCGACCCGACCAGATTCAATGACTAACGCATGAATTCTAACTTCTACCAATCAATTTATGATGCATTTACCGCAACTGGCGGCGGCACCAACCAATCGGTGGTCACCGGTGCGAAATCCATCCTCGCTCGCACAGTTGACTGGACTGGACTGGACTGGTTGGACCTCACCATGTAAGAAAGACTAACACTGACTTACATATATGCTGCTAATGGATTAATTGCTGGCTGGCTGGCTGGGTGCTGGGTAGGTCTGTCTGTTTGTCTATTTGAATTGACTAACTAACATTATGCCCAATTATATAATTATTCTTGCACTAACTAGCCTTACATTGCGATTTCTCAGTATTCACTGCACTCACTCACTCACTAGTTAAGCTGGCTGAAATGCTTGTTTTGTTTTATTTCAGCACTAAAGGCATTATTATTATTATTATTATTATTATTATCCTACTCCGTTGTAATTCCAACTACTGGATTCAATACTTCATTGGAATGAAGCAGCAGCTTACATCTCATCATCTCATAGAAGGAGGCATAGGGCACAATGCTCAACTTTTTAAATATATTTATATTTGTAATATACAGGCAGGCATCATCTATCTATCTATCTATTTATCTATCTGTGTATTTATCGATCAATCCAGTCAGTCAGTCAGATCAGTCAGTTAGTCAGTCAGTCATTTTTTGAAAATACACATGATATAACAATATATTGATTTTATTGGTTTTTGATTAGTCATCTAAATGCCTTGTATAATATAATATAATATAATGTAATTAATTATTCCTTAATTCATTGCTTCCCTGCCTGCTTTGATTGTGAATTTTAAATTTTGCCTAAAAGATGATGATGATAAATAATGACTTCTTTTAATTTGAAGAAGAAGAAGTCAACTGAAGAAGAACTTAATATTTATTATTAATTAGTATTAGTCCTTTTGGGAGGATTTCATCACGAGCTCTATGAGACATGAATTATCTATCTATCTATCTATCAATTAGAGAGAGAAAAGCATTGTAAAACCAGTTGGGTGGATAGGAGTAATGGACAGCCAGCCAGCTGTTTCGTCAGCCTAGTTTGAGGCGCTTCAGTAGCACGCTTGCTTGCTTCCCTTGTAACCAACCAGAAGGTGGCTGCTGGCTGGGTTCGAGCCAGCCCTGGCGGTTTACACAAAATGATAAGTTCTCGTTTGTTTTTGGTCGAATTACAAAACACACACACACACACTCACAGTTGGTGTGATGATCTCGGACAGCAGTAGTTGTACTCAAAATATACTACCAAAAATGAACAGACAAACAAACAAACAAACAAACAGAACTTATCATTGTGTGTAAACTATTCAATTGCATATAATTATAATTTATTTATTTATTTACTGACATTTATTTACTACTCCGGGATAATTAATTACAACTACAGAAATAAAAATGTTATTTCATTGGAATGAAGTTAGCTAGCTAGCTTACATCTCATAATAATAGTTTTATAGGTAAAGATAACTATAGGTGTAGGAAGGGGTTCCGTCAACTAACAATCATGCAACTCCTCAGCCAACAGTTGTAGTAAAATGCTGCATGCTAAGTAAGTAATCCACCCATACACAAAACAGGGAAACTCACAGAATCCTTCGAAGCAGAAGTGAAGACGGGAGTAAGACAAGTCTGGCTGGCTGGCTGGCTGCCTGTTGTCTGCAATGATTGTTTTCCTGGTTGCAGTAGACTGGACAATGCGATAGACAGGCAGGCAGGCAGACAGACAGACAGACAGCGACGGGCCAGGCCGGGAAACGAGGAGACAGGCATCAAATGGACCCACATCAAAAACAATAGGACGATCTGCATTTCGCCCATGATATATATGCATACATATACAACTGAGAAGCATCGTTTCAACTACGGACGGACGGACGAATGATGAAAGCAGATATAGTGATGAACCAGGTGATGAAAACTTTGGCATAGAAACCAAAGCAATGGAGATGTACGGTTGTAGTCTTATGTTCATCTAGGAATGAAACGAGACAATAATAATAATAATAATTATTATTATTATTATAGTAATAATAATAATGATACTTATAATATAATATGATATGATGTAATAATAATAATAATGATAATAATATACCGAAAATGAGAATTGAATACGCGAACTGACAAATATCCATCCTCTTATATTTATCGTCCGCTGTCTCTTAAGTGACGATGCCATGTAGTCATCGCCATCCTTGGCTGTAAGGTGATTTCGCCATCGATAATTGCTGATAATAATGAAAATGGTTAAGATGTTCATACACCACAACAAGTTGATGAGGAGTTCCACTAACACATGACACACGTTTAAGTAAATTATTATTATAATTATAAAAATTATTATTATTATTTTCAATTACTTACCGAGCGAGTGAGTAATTTGTCAATATTCAGGGATTCATAATCACTCACAGGCAGACAGTTAGCTTCGTTAGACGAGATAGACAGACAGACAGACAGACGGCTGGGCTGGCTGGCTGGCTCTAATCCAAAGTAACAACAACCATGCAAAATGTAAGTAAGTAAGTAAGAATTATTCCAACTGGTAAAACACTTGCCAAGAGGAGAGGAGAGGAGAGGAGAGCAGATGAAAAATGCCAGCCAGTTAAGAGGAATCAAATGACTGAAAACGATGAATAGCATTGAATTAGATTGATAACAACTTGGAATTAGACCTACGAAGATATCAAATAAATAAATAAATAAATAGAAATCTAGATCTTGTTGTTTGATGCAAATAACCAAAATCTTCAGAGTCATATGTCTTTACATCCACTAAATAGAATAGAATATGTAAAACAGAGAAAGCCGTACTTACTTACTTGTCTCTCCGGTCAGGTCGGGTGTGATACTAACCAGGCGTCGATGTTACTGTCTTCATATATACTTTGACAACAGCGTGTCGAAATGACGAAATTGATGAAATACAACAAAGGTAGTGTATTATCCATCCATCCATCCATGTCTTGGCACCTCTTCCTTGGATGCCCGCTGCATTCACCTTTCCATAAATCCAAATCACTAAAAGCTGCCTGCTTCTTGTAACCGTTGTTTTTCACATCACGTCAGTAAAATCTGAACCAGCTGTATCCATCCACCAAGGCGTCATTATTCATGCAGTTTGCCAGAAAAGACAAGGCATCTTCTTCCAACTAGCTGCATAATCTTCAATATCCCTCAATCGAACTCACTCCACATTATCTGAGTTGTTTTCATCCTCCTCCTACTCCTGATGACGATGATGATGATGATGATGATCCGAATAAAAATGGACAATTAGTCTACACTAAAAATACCACTCGCTCACCTGCATGCCTGATAAATTCTGTAATAATGGTATTTGAATGTAATCAGCACCGCCTATATACCTCTCTCTCTATCTATCTATCTATCTATCTATCTATCTATCTATCTATCTATCTATCTATCTATCTATCTATCTATCTATCTATCTATCTATCTATCTATCTATCTATCTATCTATCTATCTATCTATCTATCTATCTATCTATCTATCTATCTATCTATCTATCTATCTATCTATCTATCTATCTATCTATCTATCTATCTATCTATCTATCTATCTATCTATCTATCTATCTATCTATCTATCTATCTATCTATCTATCTATCTATCTATCTATCTATCTATCTATCTATCTATCTATCTATCTATCTATCTATCTATCTATCTATCTATCTATCTATCTATCTATCTATCTATCTATCTATCTATCTATCTATCTATCTATCTATCTATCTATCTATCTATCTATCTATCTATCTATCTATCTATCTATCTATCTATCTATCTATCTATCTATCTATCTATCTATCTATCTATCTATCTATCTATCTATCTATCTATCTATCTATCTATCTATCTATCTATCTATCTATCTATCTATCTATCTATCTATCTATCTATCTATCTATCTATCTATCTATCTATCTATCTATCTATCTATCTATCTATCTATCTATCTATCTATCTATCTATCTATCTATCTATCTATCTATCTATCTATCTATCTATCTATCTATCTATCTATCTATCTATCTATCTATCTATCTATCTATCTATCTATCTATCTATCTATCTATCTATCCAAACACATCATCACGCCCACCCCATAAATAGAATTGTATGTTTATACAAAAGTACAATAGTACAATCAATAGGTATGCTAAACAAAACAAAACAAAAATTGTATGAACTATGATCAAAAACGTTTTGACCTCAGGCTTTCAAAATTTGTCTACTTTTGTTAAAATATGTGTGTATGCAGTATATGCAGGATACAATGGTGTGTGTATGTGTGTGTGTGTGTGTGTGTGTGTGGGTTGGGTGGAACAGTCATCAAACATTTGCTATTCTCATATGAGCTGTGATCAAGATTTGACCGGATAGTTGCAAATAATTGACATTTTTATAAATATAATTTAATTTTTTATAGCTTTGTTATTCTCTCCATAAGAAGACGTAGACAGTCGGGAATTTGACTAAGTGTGACTACTTGATCATACATATCAAATTTTACTTTGTTTATTAGTCAGGATTTGCCATGCATCGGCTAAGATCACACCTTCACGTCTGTTAAACTGTTGGGATTCACCCATATATGTAAAGCTTCTGCAGTTACGAAAAATACACAAACCAGAATACCATTACGTCCAGTAGTGGATTTTACTAACTCTCCAACATACAAACTCTCAAAATACATTTATCGAATTCTTAGCCCATATGAAATGAAAGTGGAGCATGGAGTGAAAAATTCGTATGAATTTAAGAGGAAAATAAATTTGACTAATATTGAAGAAGATGAAATAATGGCAAGTTTCGATGTTTATTCATTATTCACGAATGTACCCGTTAATGATTCTTTAAGTATTATTTATAATTTACTTTGTGCTGACGACGAACTCAGTGATCGTTGTCCTTTAAATCCCGACGAAATTATGAAGGTATTAGAACTGTGTCTTAAATCCACGTTATTTACGTTCAGAGGGGTTCTTTATCGTCAAATAGGAGGCATTGCTATGGGATCACCAGTATCTCCGCCAGTCGCCAATCTGTTTATGCACTCATTAGAAACAAATGCAATTATGAGATGCCTTAGTCCCCCAAAGGTGTGGTTAAGATACGTAGATGATACCTTCATCATAACCAAACGTAGATTGTTAAATGAACTTTTTCAGTTAATAAACAATATGTCAGAAACCATCAAGTTCTCCAAAGAGGTTGAATCCGATGAAAATGAGTTGGCGTTTCTGGACTGTTTAGTAAAAAGAAAATTAGACGGAAAATTTAAAATAAACATTTTCAGAAAGCCGACAAATTCGGATAGATACCTAGATTAGCATTCAGCTCACCCATTTACCACCAAAGTAACTGTGGCCAAGAATCTGATCAACAGAGCCAAACGTCTAGTTACTGAGGAGGAAGATATTAACGAGGAACTGAAATTGGTCCAATCCACTCTTGAGTCAAATAATTATCCTAAAGCCTTCATAAAAAGATACTTAAAATGTGAAGATAAGGATAAATCAAAACCTGCTGCGAAGAATTGGGTTAGTACAGCGGTGGTTCCTTACCGCAAAGAAACGTCCGATGAAATAAAGCGAATCCTTAACGAACATAACATAAGAGTGTACTTTCGTGCATCTAACACCTTACGTTCATTGCTGGTGAAGGTTAAGGATAAAATAGAACAAGAAAACCAGCAGAATTGCGTATACCAGATCAATTGTGGGGATTGTAACGCAGTATATGTAGGAGAAACTTCTAGACAGGTAAATATAAGAATGAAAGAGCATAAACAATGTCTAAAGGTGGTTCCAAAGAGCTCTGCAGACTTGAAGAAGCTAGAAAACAACTCAGCGATTGCGCTACATTCAATAGAAACGGGACACAAAATCGACTTTGATAAGACTAAGGTTTTACAAAAAGGTTTTGGTTGATATCAAGAAAGATTAACTGCAGAAGCCCTACATATATGGGTGAATCCCAACAGTTTAACAGACGTGAAGGTGTGATCTTAGCCGATGCATGGCAAATCCTGACTAATAAACAAAGTAAAATTTGATATGTATGATCAAGTAGTCACACTTAGTCAAATTCCCGACTGTCTACGTCTTCTTATGGAGAGAATAACAAAGCTATAAAAAATTAAATTATATTTATAAAAATGTCAATTATTTGCAACTATCCGGTCAAATCTTGATCACAGCTCATATGAGAATAGCAAATGTTTGATGACTGTTCCACCCAACCCACACACACACACACACACACATACACACACCATTGTATCCTGCATATACTGCATACACACATATTTTAACAAAAGTAGACAAATTTTGAAAGCCTGAGGTCAAAACGTTTTTGATCATAGTTCATACAATTTTTGTTTTGTTTTGTTTAGCATACCTATTGATTGTACTATTGTACTTTTGTATAAACATACAATTCTATTTATTTATATATGATACATGTTGATACCTGTTGCATGATTCATGATTGGACAAGAATTTTAAAAACAAGATGTGTCCCTTTATATATAAACTTTGTTATGTTAATTTCGATTAATTTCCCTGAAGAAGCTCGGACCAGATTGCCGAACGAAACGTTGGAATTAATCATTTCAATTTCGCTGAGATTTTACAAATATAACTTTATAAATGTCTACTTCTCACTCAGCGCTCAATTATTTTGCAACTATCCGATCAAATCTTGATCACAGTTCATATGAATCATAGCAGACTTAACGTGGCAAATATGATTCGCAGATAGATGGCTCTACTTTTCGATGGTGACCCGAAACAACCAATCAGAAACCAGCGTTTTTCTGCTTAACTTCTGAGAGACAACCAATCAGAAGTCTGTGTTTGAATAAGCTTGAATAAGCTATAACAATGTATGTGAAATATATATAAATACGTGTTGATTTCCGTAATAAAACGATCTGTTGC